AGTAAGCATTTATCATATATTTGCACTTAAGATAAAATCCCTAGATCACTTATAGCCAGTGTTTTAAATACCGTACCGGTGGCCATACCGGTCTACCCACCGGTACGCGGTATTACCGGTACGACCGGTAATATCGGTGGTATTACCGGACTAGCAAATATAATAATATATATGTTTATATATAAAAATATATAATACCAAATGCAAAAAAATAAAAAATAAATGATCATAATCATTAATTTTAACTTACCAATGAAATAAAATAAAACATTCTAACTACCAATTTAAATTTTATGTTTTTAAATTAAAAAAAAATATATATTTTTTTTTTTTTAATTTTTTTTTTCATGGCCGGTATTTTGGACCGGTTTTTCCCGGTATTTACGGTACAATACCGGTACAAAACGGTATTACCGAAAATCCGGTATTTTGTGTGTTTTTGTACCGTACCTAAGGCCGGTAACCGGTAATACCGGTATTACCGGCCGGTACGGTACGGTTTTTTAAACACTGCTTATAGCTATAAGATATGGTTGCGCATAAAGATGGTGATCATGGAACATATCTTAAAAGTTGTGATCTTAAATACTGTAATAACCCAACTCCTTGTTAAATATAATTCATGTATTATCTTTTATCGATTCCGTTCATTTTCAGCAAATAAGTTCGACGTTAGGTCGAAAAGTAACGATTTATTGTGATAACAATAGGGCTATTGCGCAAGCAAAGGAACCAAGATCTCATCAAAGATCCAAACACATTACGAGACGATACCATTTGATTAGAGAAATCATTGGTAGAGGAGACGTCTTAATGGAGCGAGTCGACTCAGCAGAAAATATAGCAGACCCCTTAACTAAGCCTTTATCACAGAAAGTGTTTGAAGGACATCTTGAGAAGATGGGTCTAAGATACATGAGTGATTGGAACTAGGGCAAGTGGGAGATTGTTAGAGTAGGATACCCAGCGTTCCTATCAGATTGGACGTATTCTACTTGTAAATACAATCTATTGGAATTATATTAAATAATAAGGCATTACTTTATTTTAAGAGTAAGCATTTATCATATATTTGCACTTAAGATAAAATCCCTAGATCACTTATAGCTATAAGATATGGTTGCGCATAGAGATGGTGATCATGGAACATATCTTAAAAGTTGTGATCTTAAATACTGTAATAACCCAACTCCTTGTTAAATATAATTGATGTATTATCTTTTATCGATTTCGTTCATTTTCAGCAAATAAGTTCGACGTTAGGTCGAAAAGTTTATCCGGTTAATTATTAACCGAGTTAATTCGATAGTTAATTTCAGAACCGTTTATTTTATAAACGGACATTACTAATCGGGATTAATTATTAATAGTTTAGCATGTTCAGAA